GATTGCATACCCTGGCATCTTTCTGAATGTTTCCTTATTAAAATTATGTCAAACTACAATCGTCATGGTGATAAATAATCGAAAATTGTACATACAATGCAGCTTTAGTTTCTAATCAGGTCAGAAGGATAACTTATTCATTTTGGTTCTTCTTCATCAGCCCTGTCATTGATAACAACACTGAAGCTGAAAACAGTGATATCACAAAGACTTATGATCCGACAGGTTGGAAACAAACTGAATGTATGTGGAGGAGAAAAATCATAAAATGGTGAAACAAACAGTTTACACACCCACTTCCTGCCTAGACATTTAATGAGCGGTTTCACTTTGACCTTCACAGAAGAGGTTCAGGTAAACTGAACAAACAAAGAAGTTAAGGAAATCTGAATAAAACAGTGGTTTTGGTCTGAATAATTTGTTGATTTCCATTCCACTGTCTGATCATCCGCTCATGTTTCTTCTTGTCAAACTTTGATTGTGGTCACGTTGCTGTGTTCCCAGATCCAGGAACCAATAGACAACTGCTTAAATTACAAATAAAAAAAATAAAGTTATAATGAACTGCAACCATCCTTAAATGTTTGCCTATTGTGTCAGAGATGCATGAGTTGAACTCCTCACCAGCAGCAATCTTCAGTTTAAAGTTAAAACTGAACTGCTTGATGCTTCATCACAAAGTAGCTGAGTGACTTCTGACTTCTAAGCTTGTGTGGAGCTCACAAAGTCCCAAAAGGATGGCATTCTCTTATTGGGATGAGAAATTACAATCATATCTGCGCTCCAGATCAAAGAAATATCATCTCTCAGGACACTGTAAAGAAGCATGCTGCATTTTGAAACTGCAGCACAAACACCTGTTTTTAGGTCAAAGACGGCTGACGATCTGAACGTCCATGTTTACAGGAATTTAACACAGTGTTTGTAATGACACAGAAGGTTTGCAGTTGGTACTGGGCCCAGCAGTATGACATAATTCAGTCTGTATATATACAAATGAACAATGGTTGTTCTGCTGTGCATCACATTATTAACTCATGCCAATGGTTTAAAGAAAAAAGGATTGTGTCAGTACTTCCTGCAGTCAGACATAAAAATAACACAAGGTTTCCACTGGAAATCATTGAGGTAGAACAAGTGGTTACACATGCCTGTTACACATGTATCGGACAAGCTTTTTGTAATGAAAATAAATTTCATTTGGAATGATCAGAATATTACTATGATTACCTGTGTCAGCTTCTCCCTACCATTCCTGGGCATTCAATTCAAAACATATTTTGAGGACATTTATAATATATATTCCACATTGTGTTTCGGAGGCTGGCTGACTGATGATGTTTCTATAGGTAACCTACACAACACAAGGGACTATTTCTTTGGCAGAATGTACTCCCAATATTTGTTATTTTATTTTTTTCCATATTTCCATATCTATTTTTTGTGCTTTATACTTGATAAACTGACAATTGAACTTTCTGCAGGACTTAAAGTTGAAATTTCAATGTTTTCATTCATTATATCGACAGCATCTGATCAGCTATTACAGCAATTCTAACTGCCAACCCCCTCAATGACACACACATTTTCTGTGTGTCACCTTATACTGCAAGTCCCATTGTATGATTTTGTAAAATACTTCATACTTAATTATATCTCAGAGCCAGAACTTATCCTTAAGTGGAAAAGTTAAGGAAAAGTGAGACTCAAGTCCAGATGTTTTACAAAAATGTATGCTGTACAGTGACTGCCTGGAAGGTTCAGAAATAAACAATCCAAAATTCTATATCATGTGCATTTCACTACAAGTCATATTTAGTTCCACATCAACTCAACACAAGAAGTATTTGAAGTTTTTCTTTATGGCCAGACAGCACTTCAGTCAGGGAATAAAAGCCATGAGTAATCCAGATTGTTCCTGAAAGCAGTCAGGCTTAATGAGACCCAGACACAGGCCATCTGGCTGTTATGGCTTATTCACCTTTCAGTCACAACCACCACCTGTGTATTTTCACTGCAGCTCATGAAGTCCTTAACCTGCACAAATCCTGCAAACCAAAGCAATCCCTGTCACACAAGGTGAATGCCACAATGGCTTACATGCTCATCCAACGACCTGTCAAAGCAGTGCTGACAGGACCTGTCACCAAGATGCTTCACACAATTAGACCACAATTGGGTATCATGATCCCTGCTTCTTACATGCTGATTTAACTTTATTTGACTCCAAATATATTAATCGTATTCAACACATACCAAAGTACAT